TCTGCTTCATAAGGTTATTCTAAGCAAAGGTTTGCTCTTAGCAAAATGTGAAATTCAGTAATTACTCAATAAACGTTTTATTCATCCTTAATCTTCAACAACGTGTGTTCTAGGAAAACTATATTTCCTCATTAAACAACAACAACAAATTAGCCGGATGCCGGTGGCTTATGCCTGTAATACTAGCTACTCAGGAGGCTGAGATCTGAGACCCGCAGTACAAAGCCAGGCAAGGTAGAACGTCTGTTATCTCCAATTAACCACCAGAAAACCAGAAGTGGTGCTGTGGCTCAAAGTGATACAGCACTGGCCTCAAAAAGCTCAGGGACAGCACCCAGGCCTAAGTCCAAGCCCCACAATCCACCAAAAATAAAACAAATCAAAAAAACCCCAAAAACCTATTAAAAAGCAGGGCAGCCATGTACCAGTGGCTCACACTTGTAATCCTAGCTACTCAGGAGGCTGAGATCTAAGGACTGCTCAGACAGGAAAGTCTGAGACTCTTATCTCTAATTAACCACCAAAAAGCTGGATGCAGATGTGTTGCTCAAGTAGTAGAGTGCTAAACAACAGTGCCCAGGCCTTCAGTTCAAGCCCCTGTTGGCCACCAAAAAAAGAAAGAAAAAAAAAGGCAAAGCTGTGATGTCAACAATACCAACAGAGAGCATACAGTTTGTGTTAAGTCCATAGATCCTACCTGCCGGTCCCTGCTGACAACCTATGTTCACACTGATGTTTCTAGCCAGTTTGTTAGGAATGGATGAACAAACTGTGGTACCTCTATACCCTGGAATACCACAGGGCAATTACCTTACAAAACAGATGAACCTTGGGTTGTGCTGTGTAGAAAAAGCCAAACTGCAAACAGAATACCATTTATATCCCCAAACTATAGTATAACTGAAGAAACAAAATGAACCAACGCCTGGGTAAGGGAAATACAGAATCTTTTGGTGACAGAACTGTCCTCTGTACTCACTATGACAATTATACAATAGTAGGCACAGGTAAAACTCACAGGATAGTACACTAAGAAGATTACGTGGAAAAAAAAACTAAACTTTTGGAAGCATTGGATTTTGATATATTCTGGATCTCTTTCAAAGTTAATCTAAAAAAGTACATTTATTGGGAGACAGAGATCAGGAGGATCAAAGTCTGCAGTGGACTCAGACAAAAAGCTTTGGAGACTACACCTCAATCGTAACAGAAAGAAATGGACATGGTGGCCCACTCCAGTAGTCTCAGGTGGAAGACTGTAGTCCGAGCCTGTCCCTAGGCAAAGCACAAGAAACTATCTGAAAAATAAGTGAACAGAAAAAGGATGGGGTTATGACTCAAGCTGTAGAGTGCCTGCCTGATAAGGAGGGGAAAAAACTCACCACCATCCCCAACCCCCTCCTCCCCACAAAGCAGCCTCTTGAGGAATTATACTCCAAACACCAGAGTTTAAAATTCTGTGGTACAGTCTGACATTAACAGTCTTCATTATTAAACTGCAGACTGACAAACAGTATTTCAAGGTTTAACCACATTTCTGGAGCATTATATCTCTGAAGAGGTTTTATTTATGATGGTGTTACTGCTATTGCAACAAAATAGTAGTAAACTAATAAAAAAGCATACTAGTTTATAAATCCCTTACATCTTTACAGAGTAGCTCAATGGCACCAACAGTAAAAACCAGTAGAAACCAATTTTACAAGATAACCAATGACAACTGCCAGCCCCTATCACCACCCACACATCCAGGAGCCACCAGCCAAGTTAAGAGTCACGAAATCTGACAAACCCCCTTCTTTAATGGCTGTTGCCCCCTGTGTTTAGCTGCTCCTGCTGCTGCCACTGATGGGATTCATTGATATGATTGAATTTGATGGTATGATAATGTATGGTAATCATGATTAATCAGAAACTCTGGAGCAAGTGCAGGATGTTGGGTATCATGTCACCTGCATTTTAAACTGCATTCTCTCCTTGCAAGCCTGACAGCATTTGACAGCTGGAAGGATCTCCTACTACATTCTCCTGCTACTACTCGTAGATTTGATAAGAGAAAATGTCCATCATCCCTGCCCTATCTTAAGTGCTAATAATTACAAGTCATCACCAGCATGTTGTAAAAACAGTAAGCATTCAAAAGCAAGACTTTCTTTCCTGTAGAGAATAAAGTCTGGTTTCTCATCTGTAAGAGGTATAATCAGAATGAAATGTGATTTGATGCAGCAGTCTTCTCAGACATGATTTGCATGAAATGGCATTCGGGGCACATCAGCAGGACTCAATCTCTAGCACCTGATACAGCATGTTGCACTGCCATGCAGAGCAAGTACACACAACAACCTCTCTGCTGGCTCAAGACACATAATACAACTGCTAAGAAGACTAACTCAAACACACAATTTCCACTCTTAATTAAGCAAAGAGCACTAAGAAATTATTCAAGAGCCAAACTACATGGTGTTTAACTAGTTAACTCTAACCCAGCATTGCCCAACATAACCAATGCAAAAATCGAAGGCCTAAATCAATTTTGAAACACCACAGGTCAAAAACATTTCAATGTGAATCCTGGAATTTACCCATAAAATAGCAGGTCAGGAAAACAAAGTTTTCAAAACTTCAAAATAACATTTCAAAACATTCAAAATAATTGACATTTTAGTGATACATTAGTAAGTAAGCTTTTTAAAAACATAGCTTGGAAGACAAACACATGAACTATGGGTAAGCAATGGGCTTAATAACTTCCTATTAATGATAAAAATACCAAGGACAGCCTTTGTGGAAAAGAGAGCAATTAGACTGTAAGTACACAAAACAAAGAACACTGGAAAACAAAATTCAAACAGACACAAACACAGAATCTGACTGTGAAGCACTGCCGCATCCCTCTTCCCTACAATAAACATTTGTGAAGTTACCCTTGGCAGTCTGTACCAGAATCTGTTTCCTTGGGATGTAAAACTTCGAGTCTGAAAGTCTCTGTGCCAATTTTCATCAAACTGAGAACTGAGCAAAGCAAGGTTTGTTATGATCTTCTGATTCTACAGTCTATGCCCCTTTAATTGATTCTCCATGTTTGGAGCATAAATACTGTCCTATGCAAAGTTTCACAGAAAGTATACTCCTAGACTCCTCTACCCCCCCCTCCCAATTGAGTGAGTTAAACTCACGTTTACAAGATTATCTGAAAACTCCACAGGCCTCATTTATACTGAAAAATACTACACTTTTTTAATAGAAAGTACTGAATTGCATTACTCTACATTTATTCTAAAAACTGCAAGTGCTTTCCACATACAATGTTGTTCTTATGGTGTAAATAAAACTTGAAAACAAGTCTAATAATAGTTTAATAAAAATGTTCACAACCCTAAAGGATAAGTGCTGAAAATGTTGGCAAAATGTTGGTACCAAGTGGATCAACTACTTCATCAAAAAATATTTCTAAAGTCTAAAATCATCTAAAGTATAAATCATGTTATCCAGTGGATGTTAAACCCAAAACATAAGGTGATATAATAAAGTAAACAAGACTCAAGAAACAAAGGACCTCCACTCATCTGGTCAAATCATTACTAAATGACCCCATGCTGCTAGTCACATATATGGTATATATGTGCACACCAGAGGGAAACTAGGAGGAGGACACAGAACTAGAGGGAATCAGGGGAAAACATACAACAGTGGGACCCATCAGCTGCACTGGACATTGATCAAAATGAATTAAGGAACTCAATGGCAGCGATGGGAAGAAGGGAATGAGAAGGAAAGAGGGAACAGCTGACACTAAGCAAACGGAAAGAAATGTACAGATCACCCGATGTGGAAGAAATAACTGTATTGTCAAAGCCCATAAAACTCATAAACTTTATAGACCACCATAGACAATTTGCCCCATGAAGGTTAGAATGTGTGACTTTAACTAAGCATCACTATCCCACAATACTGTGAAATAATCAATCACAATAAAAAATCTGCAAAAAGATAAAAGAAAATCATGTTACCCTGTCGGTTAGACAAGTGCCCTAAATAGGAATTGATACTCATTAAATAGCAACTAAAAATAACAAACCATTGCAACTAGAAAAATAATCTTAAAAAAAAAACAAAAAACATTGGAACGAGACCAACAAGAACCAGGTTTGGAAACCCTATCATAATTTATAAATAATAGCTACAATCAAGAAAGCGTCTAAAGAATGTTCAGAACCTTAAATCCAAAAGAGTGTATTTCTGAATAATTACTGGAATAATTATACATGTAGGTGGTCCATTTAAACCAGTTTGGTAAATTATCACAGTTAATTAGTCAAATGGGCCATTTATATATTTCCTGAAAATCAGTCTGTTGAGTCTCAGTTAACTCTCTGCTTTACATATAAATGTCCATTTTCTCCACATTGTGTTTTAAAGAGAACATGTACTCACTGCTATAATACAATCATAAATTCAGACCACAAATCTAACAAGAATCCACATGTATGTATTTAAATAACCACATAAAGGATATTTTTCTTCTATTTACAGATGAAAATTATGAATATGTGCTTTGTTTGTAATCTAATTTGAAGTGGACACTTTCATTTGCTCATTAAGACTCTAAAGGTTCTTTTACAAGCAGGGAACCTCATTTTTATTCCTATAGCTAACACACGTATCTGTCATGTCTGCACACACATGCCCCCTCTTCTAAGGCAAGAGCCATCTTATTCCACTTAACACTGGACAATAACAAAATCAGAATTCATATTCTTTAAGGTGAAAGGTACTCCACAGGTGATCCCTGATCAACAATTTTACAGTTAAACAAAATTAATTCCACCCTCAAAAACCCAATGACCTTAATTATTTAACAAACATTTTCACTGCAGAGATTACTGTCAGTATTTACCATCCTTACAACTGTGTTTGGCTAGGCTCCTGCCTATAGTATTACTAATATCTCCTATTGAACATGTGCTCTCCTCATTACGACAGGAGCAGCTGCTACTCACTGGGAATCTCTGTGGTCCCACAGCAGGCCTCGGCTGGCTCGGAACTGGCAGCAACGGCACTGCAAGAAAACACCTGCATTACAATCAGATCACTGCATGTCCACACCACTGGAAAGGACAGCAAAGTACAAATGCACACACAATCATACAGTAGGTTCACATCTAAGCATCAGTATTTCTAATAACTACATAAAAGGAAAGGGAGAATAATTATTTTTCAGTACACAATAGCACAAGCTGAATCTTAAATCTTAATAGAACATTACTAGTCAGAATTAAAACATTTTGCAATGAAAGATAAAATTCCTCTAAAATAAAAAACTTAAGTTTATTTTCCAAACTTGTATCCAGGTTATCCAAGCACTAATTCCAGGCACTTTTCCTACACTCATATACAAATTTTAATTCTCTATAACCACATGAGAGAGGGGGAGTAGAATAAGGGAGGAGAGAGGAAGGGAGGAAGAGAGGGAGGGAGGAAGAGGGAGGGAAGAAAAGAAAGGAGGTAGAGAGTAGAGAGGTAGGAGAGAGAGAGATGGGGAGGAGGGAAACAGGCAGAGAAAGAAAAACAGCACACCCTGGCAATTGGGGAAAAGGTTCATACACCCATGCCGGGGACGGTCAAATAAACTATCTGTGATGCTAACATATGGTTTGACTCTTTGTTTTCAAACCAACAGAAGTCATCAATCTACAAGAAGAATCAAGCCGTTTTTATCAAGACATGTACTTAAGCCCCCTCAGTTTTGAAAAGCTCTCCCTCACATGGGCAGGCCCGAGCAGGGCTGACCCTGCTCCACTGCCTGTATCTCACGGGCTGAGGGGCCTGAGACTAAAAGGCATGGTCCTCTGAAGGACCACATGTTCTCAAGATGGTGCTAACTTCTGCTCTCAGGGCCAGCCAGCCTGTCAGTGCCACAGTCCTCTGCTCCAAGACCCCTATGCCTGTCAGCGTGGGAGCCACCACAGGCGCTCCCCACCTCTCTACTGCACCTGCTGGAGGCACAGGATGACCAAGAGCAGCCCTGGCTACCAGCCCCAGACCCTTCACCTTCCTGCTGACAAAAAGCTGGGGGCACCCACCCTCTTCTCACCCAAGATGAGCACCCCCCTCTCCTCACCCAGGACGGGCACCCCCCCTCTTCTCACCCAGGACGGGCACCCCCCCTCTTCTCACCCAGGACGGGCACCCTCCCCCTCTCCTCACCCAAGATGGGCACCCTCCCTCTCTCCTCACCCAGGGCGGGCACCCCCCCTCTTCTCACCCAGGACGGGCACCCTCCCTCTTCTGACCCAGGACGGGCACCCCCCCTTCTCACCCAGGACGGGCACCCTCCCCCCTTCTCACCCAGGACGGGCACCCTCCCTCTCTCCTCACCCAGGACGGGCACCCTCCCCCCTTCTCACCCAGGACGGGCACCCCTTCTCCTCACCCAGGACGGGCACCCTCCCCTTCTCACCCAGGATGGGCACCCTCCCCTTCTCACCCAGGATGGGCACCCTCCCCTTCTCACCCAGGACGGGCACCCCCCCCCTCTCCTCACCCAGGACGGGCACCCTCCCTCTCTCCTCACCCAGGACGGGCACCCTCCCTCTCTCCTCACCCAGGACGGGCACCCTCCCTCTCTCCTCACCCAGGACGGGCACCCTCCCTCTCTCCTCACCCAGGACGGGCACCCTCACCCTCTCTCCTCACCCAGGACGGGCACCCCCCTCTCTTCTCACCCTCCCTCTCCTCACCCAGGACGGGCACCCCCCCTCTCTCCTCACCCAGGACGGGCACCCCTCCTCTTCTCACCCAGGACGGGCACCCTCCCTCTCTTCTCACCCAGGACGGGCACCCTCCCTCTCTCCTCACCCAGGACGGGCACCCTCCCTCTCTCCTCACCCAGGACGGGCACCCTCACCCTCTCTCCTCACCCAGGACGGGCACCCTCACCCTCTCTCCTCACCCAGGACGGGCACCCCCCTCTCTTCTCACCCCCCCCTCTCCTCACCCAGGACGGGCACCCCCCCTCTCTCCTCACCCAGGACGGGCACCCCCCCTCTTCTCACCCAGGACGGGCACCCTCCGTCTTCTCACCCAGGACGGGCACCCTCCCCTTCTCACCCAGGACGGGCACCCTCCCCTTCTCACCCAGGACGGGCACCCCCCCTCTCCTCACCCAGGACGGGCACCCCCTCTCTCCTCACCCAGGACGGGCACCTTCCCTCTCTCCTCACCCAGGACGGGCACCCTCCCTCTCTCCTCACCCAGGACGGGCACCCTCACCCTCTCTCCTCACCCAGGACGGGCACCCCCCCTCTCTTCTCACCCCCCCCTCTCCTCACCCAGGACGGGCACCCCCCTCTTCTCACCCAGGACGGGCACCCCCCCTCTTCTCACCCAGGACAGGCACCCTCCCTCTCTTCTCACCCAGGACGGGCACCCTCCCTCTCTCCTCACCCAGGACGGGCACCCTCCCTCTCCTCACCCAGGACGGGCACCCTCCCTCTCCTCACCCAGGACGGGCACCCTCCCTCTTCTCACCCAGGACGGGCACCCCCCTCTTCTCACCCAGGACGGGCACCCTCCCTCTCTCCTCACCCAGGACGGGCACCCTCCCTCTCTTCTCACCCAGGACGGGCATCCTCCCTCTCTTCTCACCCTCCCTCTTCTCACCCAGGATGGGCACCCCCTCTCTCCTCACCCAGGACGGGCACCCTCCCACTCAGTCTGCTGTTCTCAACCCCAGCCTGGAGTCTCACAGCAGCTGACCCTCCTCGTATACCACGCAAGTCCAGCTTCTGGACTGCTCCACCATCTCCAGCACCCTGCCCCTCAGGCTGTCGTCCTTTCTCCAGCCTGCTTTTCTGTACAGCTTCTCTACTTTGGCTCCCCGTCTTCAGGGCCGACCTGAACCGTCCATTATCCCCCCTTGCCATCTCCTCCCTACAGGGGCCGTCATGTATCATCATCCACGAGGCTTGCCCCTACACTGCTTTGTAAACCCAACTGTTCATGGTCACCTAGGACACAGGAGGTTGAAGGCAGCAGGAAAGAAGCTGCCCGTTCTCACTACCGTCATCAGTCCAGGAGAGCGACCGCATGACTTCCCTCTCAGACCTCTCCATGTCCTACTCCCAGCTTGACTGAGAAAAGTGAGGCCATCCAAAGAACCATGGAAGATATCCCCATCCACTGACCCCCACGCAGCTGTCTGCCACACTCACTGAGTGCCCCAGCTCAGCCCTGCTCAGCATACTGCCTGTCAAGATGTTTTTCCTCTCACCTACATGAATGCTAGCTAGTCTTTTCTCCAGTGTGTGGTAAGATCCTCCCCATCTGAAATAAAGACCCTCAGTCAAGTAAATCACTCCCTCCCACCAATCACCAATAGCTTTGCTGGAGACAACACTGTTAGGCCTGTGCACACTGCCCTCCTGCGCCCCTAGTCACTGGCCAAGACCTTCCTTCCACTGAATACAGGCACTCATCTCCTCAGTACTGTCCTCCTGCCTCGCACCTCCACCAGATTCTCCCCTCACATAAAGTACCTCAGGTCTCCCAACCAATCAACACCCGCCTGCAGAACCTGAGATCTATTAGGCACTGGTGATGCCCAAATCTGCACTTTGGCCAAGGCTCTAAATGTGAACCTACAATAGCCACTGCCCCCACAGGTGGGTGCAGTCTTGGGTTGCTCCCACCTCCCCCAGCTCTGGTGTGTGCTCATCAATCCAGTGCACAGGCCGGCCGCCCCTCCCTCTTGCGGCTGCCACGCCAGCAGAGGTCTCTCCTCTGCTCCCTCCACTCCTACAGTCACTTCCCACTGCATGCCTCTCTCACCCTGCTTCCCCCAAAGCCTTATTCTGAAACGTAGTAGTAAAATGACCCTTCCCAAACAAAACCAATGCAATGCTGTGTCACTCCTCAGTACAAGCCAAGTCCTGAGGATGGCTGCAACAGGCCTGACTAAACTAGTCGTCTCGCTTTTTTTTTGTGTTTTGTTTTTTGTGACCGTCTTGCCTGGAAGACATCTCACTACCTTGCTGTCCTCCTCTGATTTCCTGACCGACCTGCTCCCTTCTCCTCTCACATCCTGCACCTAGGACTGAACCCATGAGCACTCCTACTACACTCCCTTGATGGACTGACTGCCAGGCCAGGAGAAAGCAGGGGACTGACAGAAAGCTTCTGCTCAAACGGCCTGGCTGGAGCACATCTGCGTGTCTGGCGCTCCAGGAGCACATCCAGAGCATATCCAAGCATATACAGAGGAGATACGTTTCAGGGGAGCTGTACTCCAGGGTAACTATGCTTCAGGGGAGCTTTCTCAACAGCCCCCACCTCCAGTAACCCCATTCCTGTCATGGTAACACCAGAAGTTATCAGGTCACAATAACGGAGACAACCAGGCTCCTCGGCACCAGCAGATAGGAACTAAGGGGAGCCCAAGGAGGGGGCAGAGGACAGGGACACACGCCACTGGCCATATTCTCCCCTACCGCTAGGAGGGTGCTTCACCCTGAGAGCATGCTCGGGACCGTCCTCTCAACCACAAGACAAGACAGTAAGGGAAAATGTATCCAAGTAAAGGGAGGTAGAAAGGCAACCAGGCTCCTCACAAACCTGAGCCTGAAATGAGTCTGGCCACCAAGGGCTCCTGCCCAACCTCAAAGCCTCCAGAGGCACAAGCCATGGGCTTCAATCAACTGGACAGACACACACCTTGAACAGGGGTCACCACGGTGCCTTTGAAGTGCGGGTTGATGTGGATGTTCTTGGGCTGCTGCGGGGTCACGGGGGGTGGGGCAAGCATCATCCTCGGAGCCTCCATTGGCGGGGGCATGTGAACACCCTGTGGCGGGGAGGGGTGGTGGGGGTGCTGCAGGGGGAGCAGGGGCTGGAGCTGCTGCTGCTGGAACAGACTTCTGATTGGCTGCTGCTGGGGTGGGGGTGGGGGCGGGGGTGGAGGTGGCTGTGGAGGAGGGATTAGCCTCGGAGAGTGAGCCTATAAAACACAAAACAAGAGAAATTCATGGAAATCCATACTCGTAAAAGCAAAGGGAAGGGATGCACATGTATTATAAGCGTATAAAGGAGCTATACAAAGGGTTTCAATTCAGCCACGTCAGTTTGTGAGAACAGTGCATCTTGACCCATGTCATCATCCCACTCTCAACTGTCTCCACCCCACCCAGCACCCTCAAGTTACCCAGTTCCATTTTCACGTGGTACTCTGAATACTGACTATAGTAACTACCCTTCCTCTCTCCACTAGTCTTCTAGTTTCCTGTTATTTATTTTGTCAAACTGTAGGTCAGTTGTTCAAAGGAGCTACACCATTGTAGCCCTCCCCTGTGTATATTTTAGTCAATCTGTTTCTGTATACATGTATATGGCCCTGCCATATGTACGATTTTAATTTAGAAATAATTTCCACATGAGAGAAAACATACATCCTTTGTCTCTCTGAGCCTGACCTACTTCACTTGTTTTCCAGATCCATCTGTTTCTCTGATCCATCTATTCTTCCTGATGGGTGAGAACTGATGTAATCACCATGGAAAGCTGTTTGGAGATTCCTCAAAAAACTATAAACAGAACTACCCCATCTGATCCAGTGATACCATTCCTATTTGCCCAAAGATCACAAGTTAGAATACAATAAAGAAGCTGTATACTCATACTCTTTGCTGCCATCTAGTTTAACAAGCCATTTTCCTTCGATAATGCCAAAACAAGAAGGGCTTTTGACTCCACGTGAAAGCTGCCATGTGGATGCTGAAGAGGTCTTGGCACCAGTCACAACTGTGTGACAGGGACTATGCTAAGATTAAAGAACCCCAGCCACAGTAAAAAGTGAATGGACCAAGGGTCAAGATCTGATGAAGTACGATGAGTACAACTGAGACTATACATATGTGGCCTTGGCTAGCTATCATGCTCTGGGGGACATTCTCTCCACTCCCAGAATCTATGCTCTCCTCCCTCTTATTCCTCACCCTGTGGTGTGCACATTGACTGTGAGGACCTGGCTTATCTTTTTCACTTTTGTACTGTCCTAGAGAGCACACCAGTCAACATGGGGACACCCACAGTAACACATAGTCTAATTTAAGAGCATAATAGTTTAAAGGAAAGATCCTAAATGGGTTTTTTTTTTGGGGGGGGGGATGGAGTCCAGTACTGAATATTAAACACAGGGCTTCTAGCAAGTACTTTAAGATAATACTCTTGCTTTCATTTGTTTCTTGAACTTCAATTCTCCCACCTCTTTCTGAGAAGCTGGACTTTTAACGTGTGTACCACTATGTCTGGCTTTTTCCCCCTTTGTGAGACAGGGTCCTGCTATATTGCCAAGGCTAAATTCAAATACTATGTAAATCCAGGCTGGCCATGAACTTGTGATTCTCCTAGCTCAGCTTCTAGGGTGTTATGATTATAGACATGTATACTGCACCCAGCTCTGTGTGGTTTTAAATGAATGAGGCTTAGGGCATGTGCAACAGCCAGGTAGAGAGGCAGAGCAGCTGGAAATGTTCCTCTAGAGAAACCAGAGAGGGAAAGAAGGGATGAGATTCATACAAAGATGGCAGAGGGTGGCAAAAAAGCTGCTCAGAGAGAAGAAAGCAAACCCTAAAAAATAACAGAAGAGGAATTTCAAAACTATTCAGAGATTTTAAATGCATTCACCCTCATTCCAAAAGAAAGAAAACAGTAAGAATGTGGGGAGATGGAGCTCTACTAGTCTGATACACACTATATATATTGTATACATTTTATAACACTACCTTATATGGAATGGAGAGAAAGAAAAAGGAGAGGAGGGAGGGGGAGAAAAGGGACATTTTTAGAAGAGAGTCTACCCAAAAGGACCCTTTGTCTAGCAGCAAGAGAGGAGACAGTGCTCTGCTGGAGCAGGGCCATGCTGACAGAGAGGCAGCAGGAAGGTAGCTAGCTCTTCCCTTGACAGTTGGTGAGGGATGGGGTTTAGGGACTGCTCGATCACCGGAGGCCTTAACATCTAAGACTACTATGAAACTGCACTACAGAAACTGCAAAGCAGACACTGTCAGGCACTACTCCATTGCTTCTCTTGAATTTCATGCTAGGAAGGGGTAAGTCTCTGGAATACACTATGCACAAATGCACACTCCCTGCCCTCAAATCTGCAGGTATCAAAACAGAGCAATTACCAGGACAGGGGGCTGCGTAGGAAGCAGGGCTGGCCTGTGGTCTTTCATCCTTCCCCTCTCATTGCTCTCTCGCCTCTGGTCTCCCACTCCACGGCCCATCAGAGAGCCTCCTCGTCTTCCTCCTCTCCGGGAACCATAGCGTCCTTGTTTATGCTGTCTCTCTCGTTCTTCAAATTCAAGCAATGCAGCTTTGGCTTCTGCTGAAAGCTCTGTTTGACAAAAATACATACATATTAGATATCTTCAAACAGCCTACACTAGATTCTTGAGAACAGGAAAGAAATGTGTGACAATTAGCTTAGGCAGCAGGTACTTCAGTCACAACTCACAAGTGTGAAACCATCATGCCACTCACACTCAATGGTGGTATCTGTTGAACAGACTTTCCTGTGCAACAAAATGCAAGTGTCACCTATATTTTAAAGTATTTTCACCTGAGACCACAACGATATGCTTAGTGAGACTATCAACAACAGCCAACATTAGAGTTAATGACTGTCTCAGGAAACTGAGTCCTTTGGACTCATTTCTCCTTCTCTAGGCTAATGACACTGGTCAGAACTCTCTCCTAAGCCTGTACCAGCCCAGCTCTTACATACAATGGCAAAAAATACTCTGGAAAACAAGTTCTGATCATTCTAACTTGAAAATTAATGAACCCACTCAAGTCAAATCATGAATTCCCTAAAGAATATAAAGCTCACTTAAAACTATTTTGCCTCAAAATTTTATAATCATATGAAAATTTCATTCTGTAAAAAAATGCTGACTTAAATTCATGCAAAACCATACAAGGAAAAACTTACTGATGCAAGAACTGTGGAGCATTGAGCAGCTGCTCACCTCTTTGCCCATGCTCAAATACAAAAGAATATAGGCACTAGACTAAGAAACCTGCCCTCCAACAGCACATTAAATTTTAAGAAATCTATCTCCTATCCTGCACTCTGTTACCTTTTCCAAACTCTGAAAAGTCTAAGCTATACCTCATTTTCTTGAAATTGTTCTATGATATTCCCCTCCCCTTCAAATGAACTGCAAGCCTATGTGAAAGAAAATTTAATCTGATTTTATTCTAATCTTTACTACATGATTGGTTCACACACACATTTTATGCAGTGAATCAGCAATTATTTTTCTAGTGGTTCTGAATGTCAAGATTAATTTCACTATCCTCAGTAATAAAATGGTTTCAAATGACATCTTTAATCAGCAAGTAAAAATGCTTTCCTCCAATTGAGACAAGCTGTCATAAAAGGTCACCAAAATATGACAGGATGGAAATTACATTTGTAACTTCAACTGAAATGTTAATTTCTCTTTAAGTGTTTTCTGAACTATGTCCAGATTCAAAAGTAAAATATAGCACAACATAACAACATTTTATACTGTATAGCCTCTTCCTTATACAGTAAGAATATATATATATACACAGATAATCATATAGTTGTTGGAAAGGAATGACTAATGAATGGCATATTCTGTTTGGCAAAAACTAAAAACAAAAAAAAAACCTAGCAAATCACAATCTAGAATTTGTTGTTTTAAAAAAAAAAAAGGTTAACTAAACCAAACAATTATTTTGTATCTTGTAAACACAAGCGCCAAATGTAATTGCTGGCACTACCAATCTTTAATGGTTTGGCGCGAAGTGAAAATCTTTTTCCACATACTCTGCTAAAACTAAATTAAGGATTAGTTCAAAAGAACACTGAGCAGATGTTGAAAGCAGGTTCTTTGGCTAAAGCAAGAAAAAACAATTTAACATAATACATGTTCATCTTAGCATTAACACAGAATTTGAATGTCTACTCACAGATGGTAAATAAAAAAGTAACATACATGCAGCCTTGCCCTTCTAGCTCATCCTGCTTTCAAAGACCATGTGAGGTCGACTTCCCAAGTGACAGCTCTGAACTTCAGGGCTCATGCAGCAGGGAAACTGGTCAATGACATCCCACCTGCATTCAAAGTAATATATCCCTAACATATACATGTTCTTGCCACCCTGCTCCACTGGGTTCCATGAGAAAACTACCACTTGCTACCACTTACACCATCTTTTGTATGTGATAACCTAATTCATCTGAATATGAGGTCATGCACTGTTCTTGGGAAAATTGAGAAAATAGCCACTCACATCTTTTTTCTCTAGGGTTGAATTTCCAGAAACCTGGTTAAGGAAAAAATTAACCATTCAAGTTCCTAATCTAGATGAAACTCCCAAATTCAACTAATCCAAACTCAAAACTACAAGTCAAAAATTGTGCATTAAGTTCCTTAATGGTCAGGACTGTCACATGCCAATCTATAGGACACTGTATCTGAATAGACTAAAGATAACCAAAACTCCCCTCTAGATTTTGAAAATAACTCACTTCACATATAACCTTTTTAGGATCAGAGCTTTCATTCATTTTAAACACAGAATGTTCTCAATATTAACCAATGCTATTATCTCCCCCCCCAAAAAAAAGAAAACTGGTTTTTTAAATCAAAATATTAAAAACGATAGCCAGGCACCAGTGGCTCACACCTATAATCCTAGCTACTCAGGAGGCTGAGCTCTCAAGATCATGGTTCAGAGCCAGTCCGGGCAGGAAAGTTTGTGAGACTCTTATCTCCAATTAACCACCAGAAAAAGCTGGAAGTGGTCCTGTGGCTCAAGTGGTAGAGCACTCACCTTGAGCTGAAGAGCTCAGGGGAACTGCTCAGGCCCATATACAAAAATTAAAAAAAAAAAAAAAAAAAAACATATTGCCAAGCTCACTGGTAATTATAGCTACTTGGTAAAACAAAAAGGGAAGAATTGTGGCTTGAGGCCAGCTTGGGCAGAAAGTTCATGAGAGCCCCTTCTCAACCCACAGCCTGGAGCAGTGACAACAGGCCTGTCAAACAACAAGGGAGGCTGAGATTGTCAGTATCAGATTCTTGGCCAGTCTGGGCAGAAGGGTCCATAAGACTTTATCTCCATCACAGAAAAGCTAGATATGGTGGAACACACCTATGAATAGGAAGCCCTATGTGGCTTACGTACATACAGGCAAGTTTACCCTGAAAATGGCAAGTGAAACAGGACTGGCTGTTTCTTTCATTGGCTCTGAGATACCACGCCAGGTTAGCCAGTCAGAGGCCCTGAATTCAAATTATAATACCACCAGAAACCAAAAAATCATGAGACAAAATAGTATTCCCATAGCAAGATGTTTTAATCTCAGTACCAAAGAAAGTAAACAGCATTATACAACTAAGTAAATTACTTATCTCTGTACAAATCCTGAGACTGACTTCTATCATTAGAAGATAGTTTATGCAAATTTCGACTTATCAACTCCTGTGCCTCGTCCTCAGTATGAAGTAGTCTAATTTTGAGGAGGTGCTAATAGTTCTGTGAAGCTTGAACTCAGGGCCTGGGTGCTGTCTGAGCCAAAGCACCACTTCTGGTTTACTGGTGGTTAATTGGAGATAAGAGTCTCACAGATTTAACGGCCCCCTCTGGCTCTGAACCCTGATCCTTAAATCTCAGCCTCCTGAGTAGCTAGGATTAAGGCGTGAACTACCAGTGCACAACCAGACCTTCTTATTTCTGGGCATTAGGACTAATCCTAGCTTGTGGTTACAGGAAAAAGTGTGTTTCCAAACACTAAGCTTCTCATCACAAGTATACACGAAAGTGTAAAACATGAACATCTGTCTCTAAGGACAAGATAGAGTCTTCAGGCAGATACTGTAACAAGTCAACACAGAAAGCTGCTCTTCTTCACATGGTACTTCACTAAACAGTTAGTTTATGAAGATGGCTACAAGTTCTCTTTCCCTTTCCCATTCAGTTTCCTCCTCCTCCATTTTCTCATCTAAGACTTACCCAGACGTTTCTGAAGTTATGATATAAAGTTGTCAGTTGATCTAAACCCAATTTCTTAGCAATAAAACATTTCTTAGAAACTTAGGATGGTTCTGAGAAATTCTATCTAAAGTTGACCGTGAATAAAAGGAGGTAGAGTAAAAGTCCCAAAACATGAGGTGAAAAGAAACTAAAATGCATCAGCAAGAGACATTGGTAACAGCAGAAGAAAGACTTGTCAGCTTTGGATCTGAGCAGGGTGAACAAGGGAAAGAGTTCCCATCTATTGGCAGCCCTGGAGGGGAGAGGTGGGGAACATTTTTCTACTTGGTCTTAGGCCCCATTATTTGGCTGTGGCATTGATTACCTGCATTTAAGACCAGAAAAGTGAGCTGAGCCGAGCTCCCATGGGTTGCTATGAGGGCTAAGAATATTGTAACGGAAGCAGTAAGGATCTTGCCCTATCATCTAGCAAATGAACTACACACTACCCACATTCAGTTAAAGTCATTTCCTAATGTTTAAAAAAGCAGTATAACTTAAAGCTGTCGGGTGCCTCGAATACAAGAAAAGATTTAAGGCAACTGCTTTGAATAAAAAAAAAAGTATATGCTGTGTGCCAGTGGCTCACACCTATAAAGCTGGCCACGCACACAGGAAGCTACAACCTGGAGGAGTAAGGTTCAAAGCCAGTCCAGGTAGAAAAGTCTGACATACTACATCTTCAATTAACTAGCAAAAAGACAGCCTGGAGGCCTGGCTCCAATGGTACAACACAAGTTCAAGCCCCTGAACTGACAAAAAGGTAGAGGGGGAGACAAGGGAGGGAGACGGGGAGGAAGGGAGGGAGGCTCTAAAAAGAAGGAAACACAACAAAGGTCCTGACAACAAAGAGTTGAAGGAATGAAATAAAAATTATCAACACAGGCAAGCTGGGCATTTCAAAATAAGGACATTATCACTAACTGGGTGACTGAAGTGGCGTAGAGAGAAGGGACATGATAGGCAAAATCAGGCCATATAGCCAGCTGGTTCCAGAGAAGAAAGATTCCCACTGCTACCATTACAATATTCTTAGACCTCATAGCAACCCATGGGAGCTCAGCTCAGCTCACTTTTCTGGTCTTAAATGCAGGTAATCAATGCCACAGCCAAATAATGGGGCCTAAGACCAAGTAGAAAAATGTTCCCCACCTCTCCCCTCCAGGGCTGCCAATAGATGGGAACTCTTTCCCTTGTTCACCCTGCTCAGATCCAAAGCTGACATGTCTTTCTTCTGCTGTTACCAATGTCTCTTGCTGATGCATTTTAGTTTCTTTTCACCTCATGTTTTGGGACTTTTACTCTACCTCCTTTTATTCACGGTCAACTTTAGATAGAATTTCTCAGAACCATCCTAAGTTTCTAAGAAATGTTTTATTGCTAAGAAATTGGGTTTAGATCAACTGACAACTTTATATCATAACTTCAGAAATGTCTAGAGAAGTCTTGGATGAGAGGACACTGGAACAAACCTTACCTAGAGGGGTGGGGCATGACTATTAGTGAGCACCAGGCTGTGGCTGATATTCCATAGCAGCGCTTGCCTACAGTAACATTTAATGGATTACTTCTAGAAAACAAGTTACCACACTAAACACTAAGAACAGAAGAACACCCAAAAGCAATGGCCATGAGACAATAAAAGTACAAAATAAAACTGTTTTGGTCAAGAATGATTCCTGGCAACCTCGAGAAGTGTCTCAAGGATGGCTCGTGTCTCTGCCCAGCATCCCAATGCCGGCGGAGGACAAGCCTGGAGCTAACGGGATGAGGGAGAGCAGCATGGACTTGCGAAGAAAGTCATCAAGACATAGCAAGCTTAACTAGCTTGCTCAAACACTGTGACTCAAGACAAACAGCCACTTCCACAGTATCACAGCTGAGCACCACCTTACACCCTGGAGTCACCTACAGTCAATTTTCTTTTCCTGTGTGATCCACCATAATCAACCATAATAAAACTATTAGGAAATCTGAAATGCGATGGAAGGAAGGTGGAAGATAGGCAAAAACATTACCCAAAGTTTCTGGAATGTTCCTCCTCTCTCTAGTTACATCTGAGAGCCTAATAATTGTTCCTTCTTTTCTTTCAGTTTTAAAACGTAATCGACCAGATTCTTCATCATCATCATCTTCTTCATCTGACTCTTCTTTAATATCCTTCTGCAGTTCCAGGGTTTCCATACCTCCCTACATGGCAGATACAAAGCAAACAGGGAGAAAATACTGAGTTCATATTCACTCATTTAATATTAGATATGCTAAAATTGTTTTAAGCTTTAAGATGTAAAGATGCTTCAAAATGTCCTAGTATAAGATCATGTGAAATGCTAGGCTAACCCTAAAAAAACACAAGTATTAGAATTAATGTTGGAAAAAGCATAAAGTCATGTTAACATCCAATGTTCTATACATTCCTGTTACACTTCTTAGGGTCATTTCCAACTATTCCTATGGGTCCTGAGTCCTAATCCAGATCATGGCACATCAAGTTGAATGTAACATAAGCCAAATTAATATTTATGAATTCCACACCAGTTAGATCAACACGAATCTTCTAGAGTGTGAGCTGTATGGTAACCTGTGTTAGATGGCATATTCCTTCTAGCCACATGGGCTCCACAGTTCAATTCTTGGCCCTTATAAGAAGCAGTCCAAACCAGCTGTCGAGATTGCTGCTGCTCTACCCTTCAGGGTCTGTCTTTATCATTCACCACCTCTTCCCTTATTCACTTCATTTAGTTCTAGAGTTAACTTACCAATACTTATGTTATGTCACTTCTTCACACTAAAACCAAATTTCATTACATCAGTGTTTGCCACAAAAATTCCCTCTAATCTCATCCTAAACTAGCTTCTTTAGACAATTCTGGCTGTCAAGCATGAGAGTCTGTGAACTTCCCTCCAAGTTTTGTCAGCTAGAAGATAGGTGCATACAGAATGTGAGATTCTTTAATCACTTTTTCAGTATAGCTTCCTTTATTTTTTGTTGCTTTTTTTTTTAACTCAGGGATTTGTACTTGCTAGGCTCAAGTTCAATCACTTGAGCCATGCACCTAATCCTTAACTACTTCATGAATTTAATGAAAACAGAATTTGCCTTTCTATCCTTGTGATTTATAATTCAAAAATATCATTTACCTTTAATAGAAATTTATAAGTGCCTAATAAATTTTAAAATAACCCCATAATACAATCATTCTATATTCTTCCTTTCCTCAATATTTTCACTGTAAAAAGAAAAACCACAAATGAAGTCTCTAGGACAAACACAACAAGTGGAAACATCTTCAGGAACTCAAATGCCTAAAAAGGGAAAGACAAAGGATAAACCAATTTCACTGTAGCCTATGTAATTTTGTTTGTAGCTACAATGTTACCATTCAGCTCTGAGGTTCAGTCTGCTGGAAAATGCTAGAGCATGAGCATCTCCAACTCTTGTTGTGAAATCTTGATTTGTTTCCTGGGCATCTGAAATCAGAGTGTGTGGTGGCTGTTAAGACCATTGTTGAGGTCCAGACTCTAGTATAGTCTCTGCTACCTCCAGATGCTACAGACAGTGCTGCCTCAGATCACTGTATACCAGTCACTAAAATGTTCAAAGCAGATTCTGATGTGGGCAGTCCTAGGGTGGAACCTGAAATTCTGCATTTCTCACAAGTTCTCAGGGGAACCAATGCTCAGGACTATAGATGACACAGAATAGTAAGGCCACAGAGGAGAAAAATTACCATTGTCAAAGCAAAGAGACTATTACAGCCATCCTGGAAATTCAAGTAATTGTGTTTGCAGCTCCAAGACTTTACAAACAAATCCAAAAGCAGTGACTAGACAGAATTTGTAAAGGTGTGTGTCCTCTAGAGCTTGAATGGCCCCAGCACCTCAGCTCTGTAGTGGCACTTGGGCTAGATGGCATAGACTGCACCAAGGAAAAGTCCATCCTGAAGAAGCAGGGCGCTGGGGCCTTGTGCAACCGTCTGCTCAGGAAATCCAAAAGAAGGTACTGAACAGGTTGTGGGTGCCATGATACACCAAACCATAACTTCACCAAGGAAAACATGGAAACATTCAAGGCCCTTTGAGTGACCTTGCAGATCCACAGTGGCCAGGACAACACAGACGCCACGCTGCTACAAGCCTCCCTATGCAGCTGTACAACAGGGCTCCGACCATCTGCCTAGTCCTCACTGTGAACAACAAAACATTGCTTACCAGACTCCACAAGTACAGACTGGGGGCAGATATGAGGGGCAGCCTCAGAAGACCAAACTCGTGGGGAGAGGCCTTGTCAGCTTCAGTACCATGGGGCCAGGTATTCGCATTCAACAATGCATTTTATGATCCCTACTTGCCGGACGAGACAGAACAGTCTCTGGACATGAGAGGGTCTACACCCTACAGACCTTCTCTATCAGTGACTATGTAACCCTGGATATCAAACTCAACAAACATAACCACCACTCTACTAGCAACTTGCCTCAAACAGATGAAGCAAGAGGCATTCCTGATGAATTTAGGAGGAAGCCTTAGCCCAGGCCCCAAAAAGGGTGGGATTTGAGGGGTAGCTTTTGTCATTCATGAAGGACACTTTAGCTTTGTTCAGGGTCCACTGAAAGATCCACCAAATTTCATCTGTACTCGCGACATGGCCCAGAGTGGTGAACCAACCTCATGAGAGAGGAGGGAGGCAGCTGCCATGGAGACCAGCTGAGCAGTCACGGGTCAATCCCAGAAAGCTTAAAAAACTTGGTAAACAAAGAGCTTTGTTTGTTTTAATCACATCAGCTCCCTGGTAATGGAACAGCAAGCGATCTGATCCATAAGGAGGTCCCAGGTGCCACCCACATGCAGGTGTCCCGAGGAGTCCCTGCAGCCCCCAGAAGCACTGGCCTTGTAGGCATCCCAGTGAGTCATGCCCTGCCCCTCCCAAACAGGCCACAAACACACAGAGGTAATCAGAAGAACCCCAATGAGCACGAGCAGAGAGTGATGAGAAGTAGTCACTCAGATAAACTTGGGACCAAGAGAGGAAATATGGATAAACCAAGAGAAAGAGTTTGAGTCTTTTTCATTGATCTCGGACATACACATTATTGATGTTGCAGTGTCAAGGTTAGAAGAGCTAGAAAACTGAAGGTGTGGTCTGCTTATGAAAGCATTAAAAGTCTAGGACAAGAACTACCACACACTAACTTCTGTTACTATGTGTTACATTTTCATCTGTGCCTGAAATCACAAGTAGAGACCTCTCTTCCATCAATGTTTTGGTCACAGCAGGTCCTGAGCATCTTGCTCTAGAATTGTTGCATCATGAGTTCCAAAAATAATTTCCACCAAAATAAAAAATACTGAGCTAGGTGCCAGTGATCAGGCCTGTAATCTTAGCATCTCAGAGGCTGAGCTTCAAGAATCAATAGTTCAAAGCCAGCCTGTGCAGGAAAATCTTGACATTCTTATCTTCAATTAACCACCAAAAACATCGAAGTGGAACTGTGGCTCAAGTGGTAGAGCAATAGTCTTGAGCACAAAAGCCCAGAGACAGCGACCAGACCCTGAGTTTAATGAGCCCAGCACAAAAAGGCGAGAAAAAAATGTCCCCACCTTATAACTCTAGTTCTGAGCAGAAGTGTCTCTTTCACCACTACATACTGCGCAGGAAGGTGGGTTGTAAGTTCACTAATTACCTCTGATGAGGCAAAAAAGAAAAATATTAAGTTTCATAAGCTGTTTTTAACTCAAAAATACTTTCTCAGTTTCAGATCTTCAGCTGTTTATTGAGTACAAAGTCTTTGAACTATAAGCATTCCTTTAGGTCTCAGGAAACTTTTTATGGTTACTTGTCAGACTATCTATGAACCAACCCACTTTTTTAGACACTGATAAGTTATTTTAAACATGTGAAGTGTTATTAAATGTGATTGATTTTTTACAAATCATATTAAATTCTCATCAATTATTTACATCTTCTATTCATAGTCTTGTGAATCATTGCCTTTTTGTTTTAAAAGATGGCCTATTTTGAACCTTTGTACAATATGATACATTCTTGGTTCTATGACAAAATTATAAACTATCCCAAACAGAAGAATAGTAGCTATCAGAAGTATTTTGCAAAGCCAGGCGCTGGTGGCTCACGCCTGTAATCCTAGCTCCTCAGGAGGCTGAGATCTGAGGATCGTGGTTCAAAGCCAGCCCGGGCAGGAGAGACCGTGAGATTCCTATCCCCAATAAACCACCAGAAAACCGGAAGTGGCGCTGTAGCTCAAGTGGTAGAGCGCTCGCCTAGAGCTGAAGAGCTGAGGGACAGCACCCAGGCCCAGAGTTCAAGCCCCACGACCGACCAAAAAAAAAAAAGTATTTTGCATCTTAATGTGAGTTATTGTTATTGTATTTGTTTATTGTAAAGGTAGGCATTTAGTGTTCAGTGCAGTTTTCAATAAAATTAAAATGTTAGAAAAGCACATGGAATTCAGCAAAATAGAAAATAAGATAATACATCAAAACCAATTAGAATTCATATAAACACAAGCTTGATCTAACATTCAAAACTTTCCCCTCTCTTTCTTGGAGATGCTGGAGTTCGAATTCAAGACCTCACGCTTGCTAAGCTTGCACTCTACCACTTGAGCCTCTAGCCCTGCTGCTGTACTGGTTATTTTGGAGATAAGAGTGGTGAACTTTGGGGGGCGGGGGGGAGGATGGGAAGGGATGGGAAGGGGAAACAAAGGAGGAAGCTACAATGCTTGATAAAAAATGTACTCGTTATCTCTCCCATGTAATTGTAACCCCTCTGTACAGTATTTTCACAATTAAAAAAAAAGAAAAAAAAAGAGTGGTGAACTTTTCTGCCCAGGCTGGCCTCAAACCATAACCATCCAGATCTTAGCATCCCACGTAGTTGGGATTATAGGTGTGAACTACTGACACCTGGTAAGTGACAGGTCTTATCTAGGAAAGAACTGCAAATCTATGAAGATGATCCTTTTCCTTCTCCAAAAACTGAAGTTTAAGTTCCCAGTCTTCCCCCTTACTTTGAAGGGTTGCCCAGAACTGCCTCCAAGTAGATAAGGGGAAGAAGAAAAAAGAAAAGAAGAAAAGGAGAAAAGGAAAAAGAAAAGAAAAAGGATGCAGTGGCGGACTCGGGCTTGTCCAAGTGATGAAGATGCAGCTACCACCGGTAAAGTCATCTC